CTAAACTAAAAAAAAAAATATATAGAAAAACAAATAGATAGATAGAAAAACAGAAAAATAAATGGAGGGGGTGTATTGGTGAAGTGATTTTGGATGTTCTTGATTTACTTTCTTGTTGTGCCTTTGATCAACGTTTTTCAGTAAAGCCCCTCAGAAGTGGGGTTTTTTTTTGTGTGTGTTTTTTTTAAATTGTAGGCTTATTTTTTGGGCTTTAACGGTATTGAGCTGGTAAAAAATAAGTGAGACAAAAATTGCCCCATATAGGTGGGGTAAATAAATGTGCTTTTTTATATATCTTTTTGACGAGCGCCTGATTTCACCATGATGCCACACATGTAAAGCTTCATGAATTAGAAATTCTGCTGCTTAGGTGCAAACTGCGCACGACCACACGAGGCGGGAACCCCCCCCTCCCAACTAAAATCCTCAAAATGTGTCAAACTATTATTGTTTACCAGAATTGGCCTCATTGACCACAACACAATAAGAGAAGAGGGGTGGAGGAGAAGGGGGAGAGAGTGGTGACAAAACAAAGACAAGGAAAAGGGAGGGGGGTGATTGGAGAGTTAGCGGAAGAGACGGAAAAGGCACCAAGGAGCACGAGAAGAGTGGGCTTTTCATTTGGGAAACGTTACAGCTCAGAGACAAAAATACTCAAAAAATATGTCAGGAGTCGTAATCGAACCTAATTCTTTTGTGAGCCTAAAAGGTCGAACCCTTAGCCTATATCATAGACGCCAATATTACCTCGGAGCAACTGTTGTAGTTGTAGTTGAAGTAGTTGTTGTTGAAGTGGTGGTGGTGGTGGTGGACGTGGTTGTGGTTGTCTGGAACGAGATAACGACAGCCCCCTCAGCTGTTCGTTGCGGGGAGCCACCATCTTTGCACTGCACGATTAGGCTGTAGCTTGTACCGTGGTTGGCTTCTGGGATTAATCCTGTACTCGGAAAAAGAGAACAAGTGCTGGCAAATGATTATAGAATATCACCCCCCCCCCTCCCCCGGGCTTCCTTATTTGACGCAATAATTTTAGAGATGTCGTTCAAGATGTGGGCTGCCTCGACTAGGCCTATATAATATATGTCCGGTGTAACCTGCACTGAGCGACATACATAATTAGATAGATAGATAGATAGATAGATAGATAGATAGATAGATAG